CCTTGTCCATGAAATTGTGTAACCCTGTGATTACTCCCCTGCCTATCATCTCCCCTCTGTTCCTACTCTCCCCCCTTAAATCCTCATACACCTTCTATTAGTTATCTTTCTATTCCTTCAATAATGGTCTTATATAATATTTGTCCTAATGGGCCTGAGTTAGCTCACTTAGCTTCCCTGTGATTTATACAGCCTGGGAAAGCCAGTGGAGGGTCTACCTAGGAATGGTTTCTGACTTGTCAACAATGAATGTGAGTCTTTGAATGGTTTCTGACTTGTCAACAATGAATGTGAGCCTTTCGGTTTAGCAACCCTGGGGGGCTATTACGGTTGCACCACAGTGCAAAGTAGTAGGAGAAGGCTTGTTCTCTCAATGACTCGGGTTATGCTGAAACACTGGTAGGAGGATTAGCTAGAAGCAGCAGAATGTTCCAGAGGTAGAAGGATTTGGAGAGGAGCAAAGTTTGAAGTGCTCTAGAGACTGTCCAGGGCATCATCGCTCGAGCAGGAACCTTCCAGAAGCTCTGTCTCTCTCTGCTAGTGCTCCCCGGTGAACCACACCCTGAAAGACTCAGTTCACCCTCTCCTCTCCCACTTGGATCTCCAGCTCCTAGATTTTGCCAATTCTTGACATGAGTTGTGAGATTTGGATGGAGCATCTGGCCTCTTTTAGACCCTTTGTTCTCAATTCTGAATAGAACCAGGAAAATTGGAAAGTGGGTGGGGGGTGGTGCTGGTGGTGGAAGGATTGAGGTCAAATGGGACGGAGCTTGGTTTTACGTTATGAAAGAAGGAAGATAGTAGGAAACTAGGCTAATGACTTAAGAGGCAATTGAAAAAGGAGTATTAGAAAGGAAGGGGCAAGGGGAAGCCTTTTGCCAGTGGCTTCTGCCAAGATGGTTGGTTGACACACAGCTTGCCCTCAACACTATTGCGGAAGTAAATGAATGGAAGAAAAATGGAGGCTTGAGGCCTTCACTGGAAATGGCTGCAGGCCGGACTTAAGGGAACCGTACTCTTAGACCAAATGTCCAATTCTGGGACTCTCTGTTGCTTGTTTTAGGAAGAGCCAAAGGGTCTCGTTTGTGAGTATATGTGAAGGAGTTCTGCACTAGCAAGTGTGCAAAAAGGCCAGGAGCACTGGCAGTAGTAGCTCTGCCACTGCTCTGGAGGGAAATACAGGAACTGGCATTTTGTGAATTAATGTCACAAGACAGTTCATACTGCGAGTTAGAGAAGAGACAAAGACAAACCATGATGACTAGGGAAGAAACAGAAGCAGAACCTTGCCTTTTCTGGGGAGAGGAGGAAGAATGATTGGAAGGACCCAAATAAATCCAGTTCTGGTGAAAACCAGAGCCCAGTGAAAGGTTGCGTCACTTCTGGAAGCAAACATCTGTGCCTGTCGCCTTCCAAGAACCTCACTAAGATCATCCTCGTCTTGACATCACCTAACAACAACAACAACTTAAGCAGCAGGAGTCAGCCAGGCATCTAATAGAATTCAGGCAACAAAGAGAGAATCCCGTCAACCTCAACTGGACACTCTGGAATCCAGCATGGGGCATCATTTCGAAAGGCAGAGGGTTTGCTAGATTTTTCCACTCTGACCATATAAGGGTAGGATTCTGTAGAAACCATTTTTTTCCACAGTCTTCCTATTTTGCAAACCAGTAATAGCACCAGCGCAAACCCATCTTCCATTAATTAGGCTAATTAATGAAACCCTTAGTGTAATAGGAGCTAAATATAGCAGAAGCACTCTTTGTGGGCTGCCTCTGGAGTGAAGCTTGTGGAGTAATTGCTAGCCCACCACTCCCTAGGGGTGTGTGTTTGTGATTAAAACAAGTGACCAAAATAAAAAACAAAAACAAAACCAAAAAAAAACCCCACAAAAAACAAACAAGTGACCATGACCGCATCTATAGTACAGTTTAAGCAACACGCATGTATATCATATCCAGCTCTCTCAAATTGAAAATTTCCTGTATGCTGTTGTTAAGTGCCATCAAGTTCACTCTGACTCATCCTGGCCCAACAGAGAGAGAACAAAAGCCTCACCAATCTCTACCAGGTCCAAGCCCATTGGTGCGGGCCATTCACTTGAGAGCCTTTCTCTTTGTCACTGACCTTCTGCTTTTCTAAACGTAATGTCCTTCTGTAGAGACTGGGCTCTCCTGACCGCCTGCCCAAAGTATCTGAGACAGTGTGTCACCTTGCTTTTCAGGAGTCCTGTTGGTACAGTGTGTAGCTTGTCACACTATTAGCTGAGAAGTTGGTGGTTCGATAGAATGATGGGCAGTGTCCTCTCATAAAATCCTATAGCCTCAAAAACCCAATGGAAGGTCGCTGTGAATTGGATTCAATTTGACTGCAGTTGTTACTGTTACGTACCATCGAGTTTGACTTATAGCAACCCAATGAACAATAGATCTGAGCTCATCCTGTGTTACTGTATTCCTTCAGGCATAATTTTAAACACTAGAAGGTGTACAGTGTAAAGTGGCCAGTTTGAGTTTTGACAGATAGATGCACTCATCTAAGCACTATAGCAATTAGAAGTTAGACTATTTTCATTATCCTGTGTTCCATTTCGAGAACGGTATTCACTACATCACATGTCTTCTTACAAGAACTTATGAGAACCTTTATCTTAGGACACAACACTGGGAAATAAGTAAAACTCACCTAAATGACACATTGTTTTTGGCTTGTTTGAGACTAATCGATTATTTCTTCTTTTTAATGCTGGCTTTTAGGAATCACTGACTTGGATTTGTTCTAATTAGAGCACAATCAAGTGGCCTCCTAATATAAGTGTGAAAGTGATTAGATCTCTGTGAAGTATCCCAGACCGCATAGCATGAAATTTGTGTATCAACCTTGTCCCTGCTCATTTTTTGTTGTTACGTTCATTGAACTGGATTTCCTTACTTTATCTGTGTATTGTTGTTGTTGTTTTTTTCTTACTCTTGTCAATTTGCTGTACTGAGGTAACCTGGGGTTGTTTTGATGCTGAACCTTGTGCCATTGGAGTGTCAGATGGCGTAATGGTTACCCAGTGTTGGGTGGAGCTTCAGGTTTAAGACAGATTTGAAAGCAGAAGTGGCATCCACTTCTTAAACAACATGCTTCTGGAAACTCTATGACCTTTGAGAAACGACGACAGATATAGAAAGGGTTCAGGTCTTTTGTTCATAGGGTCACTGTGAGTCGTGCTTGACTCAATGACAACAACAGCACCACCTAAAAAAATACCCTTGAATCACTTTGTGGTCAATCCACCACTACTAGTGTCTCAGGCTCCCACTTTTCCAGCAGAAGGCAGCAAACCTTAGTTTTACCTGCTTGTATGTAACTAGAATCAAACACTGTGTGCTCTTTTGTGTCTCACTGCTTTTATCCAGGTTGTTTTTCAGATCAGTGTACCTTGCTACGTTATCATCAATTAGTTCCTTCTTTAATTGCAGGGTAGAGTTCCATTTTTGAGCTAGATCTCAAGCTCTTTAACCATTCTGTTGATTTGTTTCCAGCTGTTAGCTGATATTTGTGAGTTTGTTATGAACATTCTATGTATACATTTTTTGGTGGACTTTTGAGTAAATGTCTACGAGTATCTGGGTCATAAGCTGGATGTATGCTCAATTTCATAAGAAATTGCCAAAACTTCTTCCAAAGTGATTGCACTATTTTGCATTCCTGACTTTAGCATGTGAGAGTTCCAGGTGCTCCACATCCTCACTGGCGTGTGTTGTTGGCAGGCATTTCTATGCCAATTATATTAAAGTATATTGTAAAAGTCAAACCGTTACTTTCCTTCCCAATTTACATTCTGTATTCTGTCTCTGCAAACACGAGAAAGCTAATGTTGACATAGATGACTTGAGTATGGAATAAATTATATCGATGTTTTCAACACCCAAAATAGGATTTGATTTGTGGGTGCCACGTGAATTTGTTTGCCATTTTGTTGCTCCTCTTCTTTTCTCTTTGATGTTTTTGCTCATGCATTCATCTCCCCTACCTGTGCCAGTTGCTTTTTTGAAAGAAATTAAGCTCCTGGAAAAATATGACAGTAGATGACAAGGCACTTGCCTTCAAGGAACTTTTTGGAGCCAGGATCCTTATATATGCATACGCAGAACTGCTAAAAAGGAAACGTAGCCCATTGTCTGTCAGGACCAGCTCAGAGTTGAGTTGAGAGATCATCTACCTGTATTTTCCTTCCTAGGTGAGGTTAATCTAAGGTTCAGCTAATAGCACATGATTATGAAAATGACAGGAGCACAGGTTATAAAGTTACCACTTCATGTAGAATAAAAGAATTGTCATACCTTATAGAAAGAAATGCTTATTTTAAGCCCTGGTCTATTTTCACAAATACATCTTACACGTAGTGACGCATATACGTTGAGTAAGAGACCCCGAAAATATTAACTGTGCATATCTGGGCTAGGGGATTGTGGATGATGATTTAATTGAGTCTTTTTCTTTCATTTCTAAATTTTCTACAGTGCATGTACAGATATAAGTTTCATAATACAGCACATTGTTATACTGCCACTCTATCGTTGCCAAGTTCTTACAGCTATTTCAGTTGTGTAGCCCGTCCTCCTTTTTAATGATTCCGACCCCACACAGCCAAGATTCACGACAGGAGAATTGGATTATGAGTGAGAAAAGAAAAATATCTGTCTATCTTATCCCTCTTGGGGACGAGGACTACACGGATGCCCTGCAGGCTAGGCCACTGGAGTTTCTTTCTTTCTTTCTTTTCCCCCCCCCCACAAACCTGGTTTTCCTGATCGTCAAAGAGCAAAAGGAAGGTTGGGTTTTTTTCCCCCTCCACATCCAAAGCTTGGAGCCTAGACAAGATTTTTTTTTCCTTCTCGCCAGCCTGTTTGTGTTGTTGTTGGCAAATCATTGGGGGTTTTTATTTGTGCTTTCGGATGAAATAACAAACGATCCTTGTGTCCTCTCCCCCCTTTTTCTTTCCTCAGCTGACCTGAACAATGTCAGGTTCTCCGCCTATCGGACTGCCATGAAACTCCGAAGACTGCAGAAGGCCCTTTGCTGTAAGTATTCGCCAGTGCTGGAGGATCTTGGTAGAGAGGGAGGTGATGGAAATCCACCAACTGCTCTGAAGGAGAAAAATGGGCACTCTGCTCCCATGTGATTTACTGCCTGTGAAAACCCTAGGGAGGTTTCCGCTACGAGTCGGTTCTGACTCCACAGTGCATAACAACTACAACTAAAACCAGAAAAGAGGGTTGGTGAGAGCATTTTCATATGGAGGGGGGTGAAACAGCTGTCCCAAATCTAGTGGCAACATAGACTCCATTCTTTCAAGTGTCTTTGACCTTGGGTTTGCCTCGCTAATTGTTTTTCCACGTTGTTTAGACCCAGCCTTGTCACCACTCTTTGTTCAGCTACTGCTGCTCAATGGATGGGCTAGTTATCATTTTGATTTTGCCACTAATAGCATTGGCTTTTATCTTTAGGAAACTTGCATTGTCTCCCCTTTGTCTGCCTTTGTTTCTGTTTCCAGTATGGAATGTGTGTGGTGTAGGAGGACTATGACAGGATTCTCCAAACAGAAGTTCATAGATGTGTGTGGGGTTTAGTAGCTTGAATGCTAGCATTTCACTGGGTACTGTGATAAAAGAGAGATGACAGGATTATTTTTCTGCTTTTGCTAAATAAGCCTATCTCTGTGGGGAAATCCTGTAGTGCCACCCAGCCATAGCTTTTTATCTGATAGCTTATTTATAACTATCTGTTATCAACAAAGTGAATTACAGGGTAATATTATTGGAATTCTTTGCGTATTGAAGAGATAGCCATAAAGGTGACAGGTACAATCTCTATCTTGATGGAAATGATAGTCTAATGAGGGATATATGGGGTGTCTAGAAAGTCAGCAGACACAGGCAAATGTGTGTAGCCGCATCAAGGCCATCTCTAATCTGCAAAACCATGAAGTAGTAATATCTCTATTTCCAGCCTTTGTGGGTACCCTGAGGAAAAGTGAATGGACAATCTCCATGTCACATATTTCATCAGGCAACAGTGGAAGAATAGTGGGCTATGAGAAGAGCGAGGTGGGGAGGGAGGTTGCAGCTTCCGGGAAGTTTTACCCGAAGAAGTGATTTCTAAGAAAGAGGATTCCAAAAGAGAGAGTAGGAAGTAACTGTAGAATGTGGATTTGAGTCAAAAGGAATAATACATGTGGAGTCCTAGAGCCCAGAAAGCATGGCATCTCCAGGGCCTGAAAATTGCTCAAGATGGTTGAAGCTCAGAGTTTCCGAGGAGCCGTGGCAAAATGTTAGACTTGGAGAGAGAATTGAGAGGAAGCCACTATGCAAGGATTTTCTTTCTTTCTTTTCTTTTTTTTTTTTAAATCCAAGCAAAAGAATTTCGAGGCCAGTGGAGAGCTGTTGAAGGGTTTAGGCGAAGGGGATGACGTGGTCGGATTTTCATTTAGAAAAATGTAGAGCCTGGTGAGGGGATGTTGTGAGGCTCAGTGGAGAGAGATCTGTGGAGCCGGTTCAGTAACGTAATCCAGCAGCATGGTGGCCTGAACTAGCCGAGTACGAATGGAGACCAAAGGAGAGAATTGAGAAATACTTAGGAGATGGTATCAACAGGCCTTCAGGGTTGCTCTGAGGTAATGAGTAAAGAGGGAAAGGAAAGACTCAGGTGCTTGTCTAGCTTGGCCTAGCAGGCTCACAGTGGACGTGCCCCATAGAATTAGACTTCAAGCTATGGCATTTGGGTGGAAGAGACAAACAATATTTGGGAGTCACCAGCTTATAGCCACGGAGCGGGGAGCAAGACATGATTCAGGAAGAACGTATGAGTAAAAAGGATTTAGGACCTGCAGATGGGGCTGCAGAGAAATGGCGAGCAAGGGCAGAAGGAAAATCCTGAGAGGCTATGACGCCACATGTTCAGAGGGCCCAGGAGGACAGGGTCTTGCTTTAGGATCAGACATGGCCGGAAGTGCAGGATAAAGTGGGAGTGAGTTCGGTGGGCACTGGATGCAGCAACAGAGTGTAGCAACCTTAGTAACTCGGGTCACATTTTACACGTGGAGGTGGTACAGCAGTTTTTAAAGGGAATTGAAAAAAGGAATTAGAAGTGGGGAGATAGAGATAGTATGGATGATTCTTGCAGAAACAGAATTATGAGAGGGAGCTGACAGCCATCTGCAGAGAACTGAGGAGTTAACTGCACATACATACACTTGAGTGTTTAAATGACTGCAAGAATAAGGGAAGCTTTGATGATGTAGTCCATTGGGAGTTGTGTTGCTGACCTGAAAGCCGCACCTCTGCTGGTTTGAATACACCAACAGCTCCATGGGAGAAAGATGGGCTCTGGAATGTCAGGGATGAGTCACTTCCACCTTCATGGGAATGAGTGAGTGCTGAGCATAAGAGAGGCTGGAACTACCACAATTGAGAAATTACGGTATATTCACATGATGGAATATGATGTAGCATGTAGGAGCAATGATTTTGAAAATCACTACCTAGGTTGGGAGAGATTGGAGAGCTACTCAGTCCCATAAGGACAAATCCTGCATAAGACCATTATAAAAATGTAGATGGGTAACTAGTAAAACGTGTATGAGGACTCAAGGGTGGGAGGGTAGGAACAGAGGGGTGAGGATGGGTGGGGTTAACCATAGGGTCACACAATTTGATGGGTGGAGGGAGGGGTGGGTAAAGGAAATGGGAAATATTGAAAAACAATGTATATGAACTTTGTAAGCAAACCAGTATAAAAGAAAAAAAATTATTTAAGAAAATAGAGGGATTGGAAATGGAATTGGATCACAAGGAGCTGATGAAAGTGATCAGAGGTCAAAGGGTCTCTTACAGTGCAGAGTGAGGCAGAGGAAAGGATGTATACAGGTCCAGGTAACTTTAGACACATGGCGGCAGGCAGCTGAGGGACATCTATCTAGGCTTCTATTTTTCTGTGTAAAATTTGGAGAGTTCCTCCCAGGTTGACAATCAGGGTGGAAAGTGATAAAGTTGGAAGCTGAGAAACAGCGTTCTAGAGCCTGGAGTCCGACGGAGCTGTATGGTGACGCCTCTCAGCAGAGGTGCAGTATTTTTCCAAATGTACAGAAGCATCAGGATGCGACTGGTTCTGCCCCAGTGTGAGGTGTTTGCCAGCTGGTGTGAACTGAGGACAGCTGTACATGAAAAGTGAGGATCTGGACAAGCCACTGGTTGAAGTGGTATGTGTCAGGTCATTATTTGCTGAACAGGGGAAGGTAGCAGTTCAGGTGGACGTTGATAACTGGGAGATAAAGGCATCAAGAGGCTAGTTCAGGGAGCTGTGTGGAGAAATAGAATGAAATAGAAGGCCAAGAAAGTTCTGGTCGGAGATTACCAGAGCTACATTTGATTTCAGGGGCACAGCATGACCGAGTGCTTGGGTCATGTGAGAGTGTCGCGGAGATGGAGGAGATGTGCCTGTCCATGGAGAATGCAAGAGGAAGTTAAGGAATTGAGGCTAAAGTGGTGCGTACAGTGTCAATGCTGAAGCCGTTTAGAATGAGAACCAGAATTGTGGAAGAGAAACAGGCCCAGTGTTCAAACATGCAGGAATCTGATCAGGGCTCTGTTGAGGTTCGCAGTAAGGTTCTTGGAAAAGGTGGCTGGTGTGGTCCTTCCACAGAGATGGAGAAGAAATGCTTTGGAAATGAGATTCTACAAAAGGGAGGCCTTTCCTCTCTTCACCCTGGGATCCTCAAGGCTTAGCAAAGAGCCTGGTAAAGAATAGGGTTCAGTATGTTTTTGTGGAGCAAATGCATGAATGAGAAGTAAATTTCAGGCCTTCATTCCTTATAGCATATAATCTGTAGCTGTCATTTTCAGCTCTCTCACTGCCATTTTAAGTGGTTTTAAAGGTTCCTCACACTGAGGGCTTCTTTAGGGATCTTTTGATGAACCAGAGTTAGAAAGAGGCAGTTAGAGGTGTGGCAGAGGTTTGGAGGCAGAGAAAATGTAATCTGTCTCCTTTTCTTCTCCTGGCCCTGCCCCATCTCATTCATACTGTTTTCCTGTGATCAAAAGGAAATTATGAACTGGTTATTGTGAGGGGTGATAAAATATTCCTGTGAGATCCTAAAATTTGAGAAAAGTTTATCAGGTGACCCTGATTGTACTGTGAAAATGCCCAGGAACAGACTAGATGGCAAACATCATAGTGGCTGTCCCTTTCCGTAAGATTCATCTCAACTCTGGCTTTAGAAATTATTAGAGTCTCCTGTCAACTAAAATTTCTGTTCACATATGTGTCTTCTTGTCGACCACTTCAATTTCTGTGGAAATGTCAAATAAATACTAAGAGGGGAATTTGACATCGTTTTAAAAATCAACTCTTTGAAGGCAGAACCTTGGAATAATCGTTAAGTCCTGAATGTAGACAGATTTCTTTACATTTTCTCTTTTAAACAGATTTTAAAATCCTCAGCACTTCCTTTCTGCATATGCCTTTTCTCATATTTTTTTTTAAAGGCTGTAGCAAAATTAGAGTGTGTTTATCTACATTAAGTACTGGATTCTCAAGAAGGCTCGGAGGTTCTGGACACATTAAGAACTCAGAATAAGAAATAGTTTACCAATCTCTTTATTATAGAAGATGTGTAATCACTGTGCTTCCTAACATTTTAATGGATGATTTGAGAATTTCCTATTAAATTTGTATTTGCTTACATGTATCTTCTGACCTTTTATCAGGCCCATTCCTGTACAGCCATGATAAAGGCAGATTCAACTTAACATAGACTAGTGGTTAAGGCCACTTCTCCCAGCTCTTACTTTTGTTAAGCTTTTGAGCTCATTTCCTTTTATTATTGAATAATATTCCATTTTTTTAATGTACCAGAGTTTATTTACCCACCACTCACCTTAAAGGTAGTTGATAAAACATAAATATCCTTCTAATACTCTACTTTTAATCATGATCCATCTCACATAAGCAACACTATCCCAATTACCACAGCCTCCTCTAAATCTGCCTTATGGCAGTTTTCTGTCACCGTACTATTCCATTT